TTGGTGGATTCTTTGTGCTGAAGGAGAACATTGCAAGAGCTGGTACACTTTTTATGTTTCCCACTTTTAACCTATTCAGTTCTGGATAACTTGTAGCTGCTTGCATATTCACAAATTATCTTTCCTATAGAGTTACTCTTGTTTTTGTCTCTCGTCTTGAGTTAATTGTTCCTTCACTGAGTCAAGCTTGAAGTCATGGAAGCTAAAGTGGTGCCAGCTGCAATATTGGAAATAACTGACAGAAATAGCTAATGTCCAAATTTCTGGCCAGCACGTTTATGAAAATAGCCCTCTCTCTCTCTCTCTCTCTCTCTCTCTCTCTCTCTCTCGCTCTAGGTTTCAACGCAGGGGATTACATTCCAGGACGAATGGCCCTACTCGATTCATCTTCTAGGCCACATCTACATCGACGACATGTGAGTTGATTTTGTATGACTGTGTTGTTCAGTGTCATTGATTTGGGGTTTTACGATGGTTTTAGGGTTTATGTATATATACATATATATATGTTTTGTATTGCCGCAATAGTGCTCGATTGTTCAGTGTCATTTTTTCTATGTGTAAAATTTTGACATTGTTGGTCTCACTTTGTTTCTTGTTTGATTGTCAATTTGAATTCTGGGGTTTGTGTTCATTTTTTTTAATTAGATGATTTTGATTGTGGAACTTTATTGATTTATATGTATGGTGGTTGAGTATACCCTTTTTTAGATTCTGAATTTAGCTTTGATTGTTCAATCTGTGAGATATAGGGGTGTGATCCGACTTAAAATTCTTAGTTCCTTTCTTTGAAAGTATAGGGGTGTGATTCTGAAAGTATGATTCTGAAAGTGAGATATAGGGGTGTGATTCTGAAAGTATAAAACTTGGTTTGATTTGAGTGTGGTTTTTGGATGAACCGTTGTTGGGCATGGCATTTTTTCTCTTCCTCTTCGATTTCATTTGGTTATGCCTCTAAACTTCTATCTCTTTCTTTTCTACGTTCTTCTATTTTTTATATTTTTCCTTTTCTAGGTGGCTATTTGTCACTAAAGATGACATTAAAGGCTTACCTTGCTTCCAGGTTAATTTGTTTCATGTCCCATATAGTTCTTTCAAGTTTTTCTTTCTCGGTTTTATGGTGATGAGGCTATTTTTATCCCATTAAATCATGGTTTCTGACTTCCAGAATTGTATTGTACTTGTTAAGAATCAAGGTTACTTTTGACAGATGATCACTTTGAACTCCAGCAACTAGCTAAAGAACTTTAGCTGCATCACAAACTTTTTCTTCGATGCTGGACTATGTGGGTGTGCACGAGGCCATTCGTGGGTTCAATTGGAGTCAAGAGACTCGAGATCTTGTAGCCTCTTTCTTTGGTGAGTTTGTATCTACACCTATTTTTGCATACATTGTTATGTTCTTGCTGAAAAAGTACACCATAGGAAAATATTGTCTAAATATATTTTTGATGTTCTTGCTGAAAAGTATTTGGTGGGTTTAGGAAATTAGTTTAGCAAATTTCCTGCCATAAGGATATTATGAGGGGAAGGTACTATTTGGCTTTCTAGTTATTTTTATACTGCAAACAAATTATACAAAACAAAAATAAAATGTGCAAACAGTTTTTGTTTGTATTTCACAATTAAAAGTTTTGTTGAACCCAGGGGATGGCACTGAACTGAATGGTTCCTACTGTTTAGTTTAATTAAAAACACGTATATATATATATATATATATTATAAAGAGTTAAAGAAATTACATTGATGTATAATGTGAACTAATACTAATGCTGAAAGGTGAGTACTATACATAGAATATAGAATATCTCCATATTGTATTTACATCAAATAATTTCTACAACTGCCATGTTTCTCATGTAATTAATAATTTCTACAATATCTCAATTTCGTTTCTTTTGTTTTTGAAGTTTCTTTGTCATTCTCTTTTTTCTAATGCAACCTTTATAAACTGATGCAGAAAGCAGCTGAACGGAGCTAATGATTAGGTTCCCATATGGAGGTAAAATTCTTATTCTCTCTTCAAGATTATTGGCATCTCTATTTAGTATAGCATCACAGTTTTTATTTAGTCAATGTGTTCCAAAAAAAAGAAAAAAGAAAGAAAGTGTTCCATTGCATAAAGGACATCTTTGGTGGATTTGTGCTTCAATTTCTTTGGCAATAATTTCGTATTAAGATCAAGTTGTATGTGCTACCTTTGATCAATTTGTATACTTGGGTTCAATTGCCTCAAAGTAATTGAAGCTTCTCCCTAGTAAGCAACAATTGGGCAATTGGAGATATATTTTTCCTTTAATAGGCAAGTTAAGGAGACCCGAACTTGAGTTTCTTTATTGGGGTAATAGGGCCTAAGCTGCTGGAGTGTCCAGTTGAAAATCAACATAACAAGCAACAATCGCAATACTGCTGTATCTTTTGAAGGATATTATCAGTGAGGGTATCTGATTGAACTGGTCATCTCATCTTTCAATTTTCTCTTCAAATCTTTTTTCAGTTTCTTATGAATGATTGAAATGAATGTCATAAGATCTACCTTTGACTTTATTGTCGCGAAGAACATTTTCTTTGTGGGAAGGTTCAGTTTGAGCTTAATATACTGAATACAACACAAGTCTAAGGGCAATTATAAATTTATAATCTGGTATGAAATCAGAATAGTGTTGTTAATTTCTTCCAATTGATTATGAGATAAAAGAAGATGACTTCTGGTATGAAATCAAAATAGTGTTGTTAAGTTACCACTGCAGGTTCTCCAACGTGTGAAGCCACTCAACCAAATTCCATTGGTTGGCCCTCTGTTTATACCTCTAGTGAACGTGAATTCAGTGGCACGGGTTGCTGTAAGAGCTGTAACTGATCCAGTGTTTCCTTCTAGTATTATAGACGTATATGGTATTCTACGATATAGCCAACAAAATTCAGCTTAGTCATTGTATTGGGTATTTTTCTTCTCTTTGTTCTTTTGTTATTGTTATAATAAGAACATCAATATCTAACTTTTTCCCTATTAGAATAAATTTTGAGCCAATCCTTGTGTCAAATTATAGGAAGCTTACTTGAGAATTGGGCTTAATAAAAAGATTCAACACTCACACTCTGCTAGGTGACCAAAGCCTTGGTAGTAATGGGTAAAGGTAAATCATGTTAAGCATCCAGTACTTGCTTCCATTAGTGCCTATGCTGTGTGTGTACAACATGGAAGCCATGTGAAAATTCGTATATTATCTACGATATGGAGTCTTTTTGTCTCCAATTTTCTGCTTCCCTTGTCTCAAAACATTCACATTTATTAGATTATGTCTTTAGATCATCACATTTTGAGATTTTCAATGATCCAATGACTTGAATGTTTTGGGACGGAGGATAGAAAAATTTGGAGATGAACGATCATTTATGTTTGTCTATTGAGCACTAGAAAAGTATCATTTAATGTAGGACTTTGATGTGAGCTGTTTATAAATTGATATGACGAATTTGCAAAGGAAATTTCTTCGATATGACCATATGACTTATTTTTTGGTGAATGTTATGAATTTTTGTAATAAATGTTACGCAATTTTTTTTGTATGATTATCACAATATGCAGTTTTTGAAGTGAAGTTGTAATAATTTGTGATATAGTTACTGATTTTTATAGTAGTGTTATACTTTTTTTATCCAAATGTAACTCAATATTAATATATTATATTTCAAAATGTTGTGATTATACGCAAGTTAAGCTCTAACTACCACATATATGGTCAGCACATATATGTTTCAAGTTGATCCTTATTTAGTTCAATGGATTGAATGTGGAAATCTCAAATCAGCTTCTGATAATTCATTGGAGAAATCATTTGCTTGCCTTATGATTTTGGGATTGAATTTATACAGGCTTGTCGGTAAAGGCAACAAACTAGTTGGATGTGGTTTTAAAGTACCAAGTCTTCAAGTTTCCAATGATGATCTTGCCAAAGTTGTTGATACTTCAGATGAGTGGATATCTGTTCGCACTGGGATCCGTAATCGACGAATTCTAACAGGTCAGTTTTTCCTCAGAGTTCATGCCTGCTGGCATTTATCTGGTCTTATGAACAGTTTGAGGTAGCTTTGCTTACTGCTATTATCTGAGCTTCATTTTGATTGCAAGACTAAAATTGAGCTTTAGCTAGACTAAGTTGCTTACATCTTGAGGCAGTTAGGGCACTTGAGGTGGCACATTTGGTGCATCTAGTTCGAGATAGACACAAAGCCATCAGCTTACCCATTCAGTACAGGCCTCGAGAGCTACTCAAGGAGCCTCTTCAGCTCAATCAGTGTATCAGTCTTATGCTCTGAGGGGTGAGCAGGTAGAGTACAGACCCATAGGGTGTGTGTATGTTGTTATCATGTCAGATTGGTTGCCAGCACCCTTTGTTATGAGAGGTAACTTTCTATTGTTCAATTCTATTGACAATGTGTTGATTGATACTGGTTCATCTCATTCCTTAATTTCGTCTGCATTCGCATCAATTTTGGGGTTAGAGGTGGCTCAGTTAGCGTCTCTGCTCAGGGTAGAGTCACCAATTAGGGGTAAGGTTGTCTTGGACCAGGGATGTCGCGGTTGTGAGATAGAGGTTACTAGTCACCGACTTCCTTTTGCTTTCATATTGTTAACATATCGGATTTCGATGTCATTTTAGGCATGGATTGGTTGTTTTTATACCATGCTATTATAGATTGTTACCGTCAGAGAGTTACGATGTGCACCTCGAGTGGTGACTATTTTTGTTTTCTGGGAGACCGAGCTGATAGAGTTTTGTCGCCAGTTTGTGACTCACGTGATCGGGGCGAGCTTAGTTGTCTTCTTGTAACTTTCTTAGGTAGTGAAAGTGATGTGGTCCAAGTTAAATTGTTGAGTGTAGTTTGTGAATACCCAAGTGTCTTTACCAAAGATCTTACTAGTTTTCCATCTCACCGAGAGATTGAGTTCTCCATTACTTAGTGTCCTGCAGAACACCAATTTCCATGGCACCGTATAGATTTGCACCAGCCGAGTTGTATGAGTTAAAGATTCAACTCCAAGAGTTGTTAGATAACGGCTTCATTCGCCCTAGTACATCGCCTTGGAGAGCACCAACTCTCTTTTCTAAGAAGAAGGATGGCACTCTACAACTGTGTATCGATTACCGAAAGTTGAACCAGGTAAATATTAAGAACAAGTACCCATTACCTCGTACAGATGATTTGTTTGACCAGTTGAAATGGTCTTGTTGCTTTTCTAAGATTGACTTGAGATCAGGTTATCACCAGTTGAGAGTAAAGGAGGGGGATATTCAAAAAATGACATGTTGTACACGGTATGGCCACTACGAGTTCTTAGTGATGCCTTTTGGGCTAACCAATGCACTGGCTTTGTTTATGGATTTGATGAATCAAATTTCTGTGAGTTCCTAGACTGTTTCGTAGTTGTCTTTGTTGACAGTATCTTAATCTACTAACCCTCCGAGGAGGAAAACGAGAAACACTTGCGGGTTATACTTGAGTTACTTAGAGCACACTGTTTATATGCTAAGTTCGAAAAGTGTGAGTTCTGGCTGAAAGAAGTAAAGTTCTTAGGCGAAGTGGTATTCGATGAAGGGGTAACTGTAGACTCTTCGAAGATAGATGCAGTGCAAGATTGGAAACAATCTAAGAATGCCATTGAGATTCGAAGTTTCTTGGGCTTAGCCGGGGTATGACAGACGTTTTGTGAAAGACTTCTCCAGACTGGCCTCACCTTTGACTAGATTGACGAGGAAGGGTTTTAAATTTTCCTGGAGTCAGACTTGTGAAAAGTCATTTCAAGAACTTAAGGTTAGACTTACCACTTCTCTAGTATTGATTATTTCGGAGAGGGTTTTGGGTTATTTGGTTTATTGTGATGCGTCTCAGGAACCTTTGGGTTGTGTATTAATGCAAAAGGAGAAAATTGTAGCGTGTGGCTTGCGGCAATTGAAAACCCATCCTACTCACAACCTAGAGCTAGTGGCGGTGACTTTTGCCTTAAAAATCTAGATACATTACTTATATAGGGAGAGATTTGAAGTGTTTTCTGATCACAAGAGTTTGAAATATCTATTTTTACATAAAGATTTGAATTTGAGGTAGAGGAGGTGGATGAAGTTTATAGAGGATTATGATTTTGAGTTACATCATCATCCGGGGAAGGCCAACGTAGTGGCCGACGCTTTGAGTAGGAAATCCGTAAGCAGTGTAGCTAGTATTGCCATCCGAGAATGGGAGATGTTGGGCGCTATTGGTGAGTTCGACTTGCGTCTTGGCGATTTCGTTGAGCCAGCCATTTTGTTCATTATAGTTGCATAACCTACTCTAGTGAGTCGAGTTATAGAAGCACAATGAGGTGATCACAAAGTGGAGGATATCCAAGGGAAGATTGCTAGTGGAAAGGTAGAGAAGGGCTTATATGTGTATTCTGACTCGAGTGTGAGATATTTAAACCATCTTTTTGTGCTAGAATCGTGTAAGGAGGAGGTACTCCGAGAGTTCCACTATTCACACCTTGTGATACACTCGGGAGTCACAAAGATGTACCACGACCTTAGTCACCAGTTTTGGTAGAGAAGGATAAAAAGAGACGTAGCCTTGTTTGTTTCGAGGGGTCTTATTTATCAACAAGTGAAGGTCGAGCATGAACGACCAGCGGGTTTGTTGCAACCCTTACCTATAGCTGAGTGGAAGTGGGAGCATGTCACGATAGATTATGTTGTGGGTCTTCCGAGGACTCAACGAAATAATGATGTTGTATAGGTGATAGTCGATCGGTTAACTAAATTAGCACACTTTGTACCTATGCGCATGAGTGACTCGATAGATTATCTTGCCAACCTTTATGTTAGGGACATAGTTCGACTTCATAGAGTCCCTATGACTATCATTTCGAATAAAGATGCATATTTCACGGCTCGGTTGTGGAAGAACTTATAGAATGCATTAGGAACTAGATTGACATTTAAACCGCCTATCATCCTCATACTGACAGGGAGTCCGAGTGAACCATTTAGATCTCAGAGGACAAGCTTTGGGGTTGTGTTCTCGATTTTAATGGGTCATGGAAGAGGCATTTACTTTTGGTGGAGTTTGCCTATAATAACAGCTTCCAGTCGAGTATTGATATGGCACCGTTTGAGGCCTTGTATGGCCGACCATATAGATCTCCAGTGTGTTGGGCCGAGATGGGCAACGCACCTATGTTAGGCCCAGACTTGGTTTGGGAAACGGCATAGAAGGTTGTACTTATTCATAAGAGATTGGTTTTGACTCAGAGTCAGGAGATCATGTATTCTAAAAATATCACTGAGATGAGGTTTGATGAGATTCGGGTAAAGCATGAAGTTGTCTCCTATATTTATTAGGCCTTTTGAGATTCTAGAGCGGATTGGGGAGGCAGCTTATCATTTGGCCTTGTCATCCCAACTTTTCGGGGTTCATTACGTGTTTCACATTTGTATGCTCCAGAAGTACGAACTTGATCCTTCACATGTGTTGGATTAGAATGAGTTAGAGGTAGATGAGGATGCCTCGTACGAGGAGAGACCAGTTCGGGTGTTAGATACACGGGATCAAGTCTTGAAGGGCATGACTATTCCTTTGGTGAAGGTCTTGTGGTGACACCATGAGGTCGAGGAGGCGACTTGGGAGCACGAGACAAAAGTTCATGAGACGTATCCGAACTTATTTGTTAATGTTTGAGTTTTGTATTGGAAATTTTATTCATGTTGAAATATGTAAACATTGTATGTGTTTGGGAAAGTTGAGCTGTAATATTTTGTGCTGAAAGACTCAGT